AGGTCTTAAAAACACCCGCAGCGGGAATTGAACTATGATAGATTAGCGTGTAATCTCAACACGTTAACCAATATGCCGCATTACCACGATTGCCCTTGGGTCATAGGACAGATGTGAATTTGGAGGAAGGCCAGGTATTTACCCATATCACATTCGTTAGTGGGATCGTCGATGAAGCAATTATATTTTCTATAACAATTGACTGGATTACTTATTTTTCGTTTATAAGAAATGTCTCGAGACTACCAGTAAATAAGTTATATGAAATGTATTCATGATTCGAGTACCCTTGGTGGTATTGATAAGACCGAGGCGAGATCGAATATGCGTCCGCCCTGGATAAGAATACCTTTTGAGAAGCATTGCTATGTAAAATTCAATGGAAATTTAAAGGTCTACTCATATCATAGTGCAAAAATTCAACTACCCATTTTTGATCACCTTAAACAAAATAGGTTGAATACATCTCATATAACTGATTTAATGTTAGTCTCGAAAAAATTACCTATAAAAAATTATAATCAACATATTCCTAATTGTCACAATCGGTGGGCTCTAAAAATGGTACAATGCAAACTTTAATAGCTGTATCAAACGTGGACACGTTAAGGAAGTGAAACATTAAATAGGAGCATCAAAACTTAGAGGTTGAACTTACTTCATCGAATAAAATATGTCTAAAATCAACCAAGGGCCAAAGCGAAAGCAGAATCGCTAAAACCATGAGTGAAGTGATTGATCCACTAATTCTATAGCATTTACAGTTTTCATGAATAAGATTATTTGGTGCTGACGGCAGACCGTCTTCTGCCCAGCTTGGGGTTTCGGATTGTTTTCCTTCGTCGTATTTTACTACCTTTCACCTCTTCAGATTCAAAAATTCCACCTGCATCGAGGCTACTAAGTAGCCTAACTTCATGTCTCGCAGACCGAACAATATATTGATCAACTTTCCTCTCTTCTGCAGTTAGTCCTTGTACGGCTGCAGGCGAATCAAGTTTGTCAGAATGGTTCCTTAGATGCCATTTTTTGCAGTGAGAGACCAATTTACTTTTGTTGACACATTTTCGTGGAGTGGACCTTTTCAATCGCTCAACTGCGGTACAGTTTGTGGTAGCAGGAACAGACACCAGAGTTTGCAGTTTCCTCAGACACCCAGATGTCCTCCGTAAAGAGGCCAACTTTTGCTTAGAATGAGATTGGCATTGTTCTTGATGCTGATGCAATTGATCATCTTTTAAGTTCAATTTTTGGTGGAACTGTAAATATTCGTCTGGTCGGTCGCGCGATCTCCCCTTGCCTTGTAGAATAAGTCTACGACGCAACAACTCAAGCGGCCGATCATATTGGCTCGACGTGACACCAGGTTGATAGATGCCTAGAAGAGAGTTGCGACGGTCTTTTGAACCTACTCGGGTCTTAAGAACAGAAGAAAAGTTGGAGTCTGAGTTTGAGCGAACCGCAGATAATCGGGTTCCTAGGCTAGTCGAATGATCGGTTGCTGGTGGGTCTAACTGAAGGACAGATTCTAAAGAAAGGGAGTAGGAAGGCTTTGCCGAGGAGATCGAAGAGCGAGAGGAAGAGGAAGAGGAAGAGGAAGAGGAAGAAAAGACTGATGACAAAGAGGAGGTAGAGGGTGGGCGGACTATTTTTGTAGATGATAAAAGAGTATCACCAGCTTGAGGGGTGTTTGAACTGAGATTACGAAGAATCCGAGTACCGTGCTTAGTTTGGTCCGAAGTTAGGGACAACAGTGAAGAAGATTCAGATACCAAAGTCGAGATTAAAAAGGAAGGATCAGGAGCAAGATCCGGATTTTTCTTGACTTGTTCTCTTAAAGGCAACTTATCATAGGATGAAGGAGAACTAAACCCAAGTGGCGGAGACAATGGCGGCAAAGCTTGAGATGGTGACGAGTTACTAGGTGCAAACTGGGCTGACAGTGAGTTGTTCTGACTATCGTGAAGCTGTAGCATGTTAGCCAACATAAAAGAGGTCAGTTCATCCGCTTTTTTCAGCAGACGTCGGCGATCAAACTGCGGCAAAAGCAACAACGCGTTACAAAGTGCCGCTCCAATAGACTCTAGATGTTGGGTGTTCAGCTGATGACCCTTATCAGTAGATGCGGAATCTTTTGGTCTTGACATTGGCCAACAGTTTTGATCTACGCCACAATATGATGCCTCCATCGTAAAGGACCTAAGAACATGAAACTCTCGCCAAACAACAACGCGCGCAGTTGACTCCTTAACCCGGCTCACAGAGTAGCTGATTAAAAAAAGAGCATCGAAAAGTCAATTAATATGTAACGTAGATAAAAATTAGTGAATAAAATAAACCAGGTTAAAGTCCTTTTGCAAATATGTATTCGTTTAGTATATATTCAATGCTTTCCTTGGTTTATTGAACAGAGTGCATGATGCTGCATAGGAGTTCATATCAAATAAAAAGTGATGCTGCGAACAGTCGAGTAGGAAATATAATTCAGTTTACATTAATCTCGAATTCCAAAAGCATAAATTCGATTAAGAACTTGTGCCATTTTCACTTGAAATAACTCCTATTTATCAGCATACACGAAGCAACCTAACCTTTAAACTAGACTCCAATTACTTCTCAAGCCAGTCAGGCCTGGCTAAATAAACTTATTCAACCGGGGAGAAATACAAATACGTTGGCCAGCTCTTGCCTTAAGAGTTTAAACACATAGTTTAGCCTACTAACTCAAATGTAGGAGCTCCAGCCACCCTAGGTCACACAAAGAGATCTAAGACAGATAGGTGAATTCTCCCATAATCATATGCATAGGCCTAAGGTTTCCAAGGGAGTTCATTTAGCCCTGCCCTAATAAAGATATTCTTATCCAGAATAGACGTTAGTTTCAACCTTGCCTAGGCCTCATCAGCCAATGCAGCGGAACTCGTGCCCGGCTAGTGTAGCGTAGACTCTAGACACAAAAAACACTGCACTATCCGAGTTAGAGTCAAGCGGAGGATGCTGACTAGACACAGGAAAGTTCGAAACTGCAGTTCATCCTGGATAAAAAAATCTTTTGGTAAGCAAGTCCCCTACGATTGTGGAAAATTTCAACCATCAGTCCTTCAGCACTTCATATGACTGGAGCTCTTTTTCAATAGTTACTGATAGTTTCGAAAGCCTAATTAATCTGAACATAACTAAAACGTAGACATAAATCATTTTAATCGAAGATATGAGGACCAAATGATGTGGCAGTCTCCTTTCGTTGTATAAAAGTTGTTTGACCTTGTTTTTGCAGCTTGGTCATATTGACAGGAAGACTTAGAGGAACGCACCTTGTCGGGAGTCCATAGTATGCATGCTAATTTGCAGAGTCAGACCGTGGACTTGGTACATTCCCAGACATTTCGCCGGCATCGTAATCGGAATTATCAGTGAATCTTGCCATTCTTAGCACCACACTACAACTAGTCAAAGAGACAAGTGAAGTCAAACAGTTGTGATATCTGTTCTTCTGTCCTGAACTATTCACCTATCATATATCCTTATATCACACCTGCACTATCACAATTTTTTCCCTTGCTTATTTAGATGTAGCGTGGTGTGTCCTTTTGAGCGGCTTTCATGAGAGCCCTCCACGCTCCACACTGGCGTTCTCACTCCCTTCACCCTTGTGCTGGGAATGTTAAGGAGAGTCTCCCATAATGTTACGCAGTCCTCCTTCTGTAGGTCTTATCAGAATCTCTCTCTTGCCCCGGCAAGAGGGAGACTCTAATAAGACCTAGGAAAGGAAGACAGACACTGCTCAACATTCCCAGCACAAGGGTGAAAGGGAGTGAGAACGCCAGCGTGGAGCGTGAAAGACTAATGAAAGCCGCTCAAAAGGGCACACCACACTACAATTAAATAAGCAATGAAAAATTGTGATAGTGAAGGCGTGATAAGAGGATATAGGAAAGGTGAATAGTCCAGGGCAGAAGGAGAGATACCACAATTGTCTAGAATACATTTGGTCAAAGGATCGGCTTCACTAGTGTTGTGCTAAGAATGGAAAGACTCATTGACGATTCTGCGGAAGCGTCTGGGAATGTACCCCATCCATGGTCCGACTTTGGAAATTATCATGCATACAATGGACTCTGTAATAGGTGCGTTTCTCTGTCTTTCTACCAATATGACAAAGCTGCGAAAAAAAGGTCAAACAACTTCTATAAATCATTTTGTCCAGGAATGATCTGTAGTTAACGCGAAGTATGCTCGACATTGTTTGCTAAAACTCACCCACAAGTAGAACGAGAAAATGCTGGAGAAAATAGGCTCATCAATCGCTCTAACTCGCGACATGATTCGTCGTCCTCAGGCAGGCCAAGATCACCTCTCCAAGCTGGATTCTGTGTATCCACTCGAGTTTGTCTACTCATAGTTTCATTATTGGTCAAAGAAGCAGGCTGAATGCTCAGAGCCCCTTCATCTCTGGTCAACAGGAGGTCTGCAACAGACGAAATGGAGGGGACTAAGTCAAAATCTATCATGCTTATTAGTCCATCCCAGATCGTCTTGATTAGGTAAGAACAGGAATCAATTTCTCTGGTAAATGTAGCCAGTGATGTAGTAGAAGAGGAGGCAGACTCAATGAGCCAAGCTCCGAGCTGACGACAAGCCTCTAGCCAATCTAAATTACCATTACGTGAAAAGGACAATTCGCGACGAATCTTGCCCCCGTTGTCAGATCCGGTGGGACTGGCGATGGGTGCACTGCAGCGCCAAGTTTCCCGAGGGCTGCAGCCATAGAGGAAGACATTCTTCTGTCTCGAATGGCCATGAAAATCGATAAAAACCTGGGAGGAATATTGGAAAGCAGGGCTCATTAAATATTAGTAATACCTATATATACACATACATATATATATGTATAATACAAGTAATAAATAAATGACTAATAAATATAAGTATATATCCTTCTTACACAAACTATATATATATGATTAATAGAGTTAAATTAAATCAGAATCTAGTTATGATAATTAGGTTAAGATGATTTAAACACTGATGGTGAAGAATTCTCACAATGACATAGATAGGCCTCCTGACGTCCCACGTACGCCAGGCAGAGTTGACATATATTTATGAAATATGTTTTAAAAATAAGCTGTTTCTTTACATCGGATATGTTGCTATTGTAAAAATCCGTTGGAAAGACTACTTGTGAATGTCGCTCATCTGTACTCTTCCTTCCCGTTGGCCGAACAAATCATACCACTGCATTATGCCTATGTTTGTATCTATAAGATTGGGACCTGAATAATTAATCAAAAGCCTACACATTTTATATAGCACAATTTCGCACCAAGTTTGCAGGCCGCCATTGCGCGCCACATTCTATGGCTACAGTTTTTTGCCGTGCTCTCTTCCGCCTCACTTTTCTGCATAAGGCTCCGCTCATGGAAAGTGCCGACTCTGGTTGGCTGAAGAGCCAAACGAAAGAGAGGGGCAAGGTGAACAGCAAGTGTGATGAGGCCACAGTAAATTTGCCAAAAAGTTCACACCTGGCGAGTGGAATGTGATAGAGGGTGTGTGATAAGAGGGTGTGATAGAGGGTGCGTGATAAGATAATAAGTAGATAGATGGACCAGGACAGAAAGATAAGTGATAGCACAACCGTTACGGCAGAATATTTGGTGAAGGGAGCTGATGATAATGTTAAGACTCACTGATGATGTCGACTACGATGCCTACGAAACCTCTGAGAATGTACCAACTTCACGGTCTGATGCTGGGAATTATATTAACTGATATAACAAAAGACATCAACCAGGTGAGTTTAACTAAGCCGCCATGACAACAAGAACAAGTTGTTCAAAATATCCACCGCGTTAAAGAATTTAAAACCTAAGAATACCCACCTCTATTTCAGCATTCGTAGGAAATTATCACCAATAAAAGAGAAAGGGAACAATAAAAAAATCCCAAATTGCATAAGACATAATGTTAAGGATACGAAAGAGTGCAAATGCATGCAATTGATGAATGCAATTGATGCATGCAATTGAGAAACTGGCTGAGGTGAGTTTAAAACACAATAACGTAGTATCACTCGCCAGAGGCATAAAGGAATTTGAGGAGAGAGCATCATTTGAACGCATAGCAGGATTGAAATAAGTAAAAAATCAAGCCAACTTAATAAGAACTCGACAGGAATGGTTTAATCAGTTGATCATGCCGATTTTCCATTAATAATAAAATGAAATGCGAAAAATTGTTAAATGATATAATCTACAAAATAAAATTTTTTCTGTAATTTATATGCCATGAAGAATATATTTGTCTAGGAAGCTAGATGGCTATCAAAAGCCTTAAAGAAATTTTGGGCAAGTGACTAAGGTCTAAAATAAAAATCTAGGGTAAAAGGGGATATTTCATCAAGTAATCGATGAGAAGAGCAGGCTCATCGAAACAAAGATAGTGAATACTACGACTTCATGATTATAGTCTAAATTATGAGACAATAAGCAATCATAGGAATGAAGATCAAGATTGTGTGGTCGTTAGTATGGTCACGGAATCTTTCATTGTATATAAATTGTTTTGACAGTGTTTTTGTAACGTCGTATTATCAGGGAGATCTCAAACGACTTTCCTTAACCAAAGCCTCTTGCCATAGTAAGCATGATAATTTCCAGCGTCACGGACCATGGACATCTTACATGTCAAAAGTTACGCCGGTATCGACTTTGGATTTTGCTAGTCTTAGCAACAAACTACAGCTTATATGCGAAGAAAAGTTGGGTTTCGATGAATCTCTTGTTTGCTAATTGTTGAGCTTACTTATATTTCGAGGGAAACTGTTGGGTGAAGAGATTCGAAGGTCGGTTTAGCCAGAAGGCGACAGCGGATTCCCCTTGACCAGCTGTCGATTGGCTTTACAGGAAGATTCATGCTGACACTGCTTTCGAGGTAATCTCCTTGGATTCCGGTAAAAAGGTGTTAAGCTTTTGTCCGTCATATGACGAACATCATCAGAGCAAGATATCATCGTCACAACAAAAATCAAGCTAACGAGTCAGGAAAACTCACCGACAAATCCCTAAAAAGTGGTATATATACCCTACATCTTGATCAAGTAATAAGTGATTTGGTAAATGTTAAGGTCATATGTCAACTTCGATGCATGTGAGTGTGTCTGTCTCTGTATGTGTATCTGCCTGCTTGTGTTCGTCTATGCACGAAGCCCGTAGTGATGACTTAAAGTAATTAGGACAGCAAAAAGAAAGTATGTTTTTGGTCATCAATGTTTGATGACCCCTATCTCCTCCTTCCTACATACATGTTATAACCATAACACCGATTGCGCAAGGTCGGACACACTTCTGGTTTTGTTGCTGAGTCTGTTTTTTGTTCTTGGTCTCAATGCGAGAGAAAAGGTGAGCTAAAAGTACAGAGAATTGACTATCATTAGAACCAAGACAAGAAAAGACTAGTTGCGTCGCCTTCTTTTTGCAGGCGGCTTAACTCTCTCTCTATCCTTCAGTCTATTAATTAAGCACGAGTAATTTTTACTTATCTTCTCGCCGGTATTCCTTATATTCAAGGTATTACCTATTCGGTTTATTTATATGGCTTCTCTAACGTATGGAGGCGTGTGGAGGCGCTTTTGTGCTCAACCACCCCTTGTCGAATGGGACGACAAGTCTCTCCAACATAAAAGCGACCATATAAACACATTATCTTGTAGCAACCCGATCTGGATAATGGGTTAACTTTATCTCTAAAAGTGGGCATAACTTAAGAAAGTGTCGTAGGTTCGATGAAGACCGTTTTTAATCCCTACTTCCTTACTTGTTCACCTATCATTTTAGAGAGAATACAAGAAGGTAAAGACAAAACACGAGAAAAGGTCTCCTTACATATTTACCATTCAAAAAGCAATTCTTTATTAATCTAATGTTATTTATCATCAATTCTAGGGGATAGTTATTCTCAAGAAATATTATTTTAATCGACGGTATGAAGACAAAGATGGTGTGGCCTTTTGTATGTTCGCAGTCTCCTTTCGTTTTATAGAGGTTGTTAAACCTTGTTTTCGCAACATAGTCATATTGGTAGGAAGACTGAGAGGAACGCACCTAGTCCGGAGTCCAGTGTCTGCATAATCATTTCCAAAGTTGAACCGTGGACTTGGTATATTCCCAAACGTTTCGCCTGAATCGTAGTCGGCATCGTCAGTGAGTATCGCCATCCTAAGTACCATACAAAAACTCGTCAAAGAGACAAGTGAAGACGATCCTTTGACCAAACGTGTGCTAAATAATTGTGGTATCTCACCTTCTTCCCTGGATTATTCGCGTTTCCGGTATCATACTATCATGCCTTCACTATTACCATTTTTACCGTGTTTATTTAGATATAATGTGGTGTGCTCTTTTGAGCGACATGAAACCTTCACACTCCAAGTGTCGTTCTCATCCCCCCTTTTATCCTTGTGCATGAAATGCTGATCAGAGTCTGCTTTATTATCATGCAGTCCTCTTT